CGTGATAACATAATACGTCCCCGTCTTTGACGGGCGTATAAAAAGCAAAAAACATGCCAAGTATACCAAGCAGGAAACCAAGTATACCAGGCAGGAAACCAAGTATACCAGGCAGGAACCAAGTATACAAGGCAGGAAACCAAGTATACCAGGCAGGAAACCAAGTATACCAGGTAGGAAAGTATTTGTACCAATTTGTAGTTTTGTTTCATCTTTACAGATTTTCCTTCACTTCCCCTAACAATCTGGGGTGATTGACACCTATAGGACTGTTTGGGTGTATGCACTTCATAGGTTGAAATGGCCTAGAGAGTACACCATAGGGATTCAAACTAAGTAGTTACCATAGCATAGACTATCATAGAGGGTGAGATTTTCTCCTGCCTACACAGTGCTAATAACCCAGCTGGTATACACAATTGTCTGGGGTTGGTGTTACAGTGTTTATGTTATAACATTCAATGAGGTGGCACTATTGAAAAAGATACATGGTTCTTCTGCGAAATGCCAGCTCACATGTGGAGGTATTAGCCAGATGGCTTAGGAACACTGATAAGCACCTGTTAAAGTACCTCATACAAGAGATCTCAACCAATCAGAGGCCATGGCATTACACCAAGCATTACCAGAATCTTCACCGTAGGCCTTTGTGGCCAGCTTGGATTTGGGATCTGGGAAGTAAGGGATGACTGATATAGGACATCAATCAAGAACCTTTTACACACAACACAAACACTGAAAAATCAGAAAGGGACATTAAATGTCATGTTGACAGTATATAACTCCTATTCTTTCGTTAGTTTTTAGTGACCTTGACCCTGACTGCATGAAGGCCATCTTGGATTTTAGGATCTGCCTGATATGGCATTATTCATGTAGAATATCCAACAACTACTGTTAACCACCAAAATCAGCACTGGTGTGTCAAAAAGGGTCACCAAAATCAGCACTGGTGTGTCAAAAAGGGCCACCAAAATCAGCACTGGTGTGTCAAAGGGGGCCACCAAAATCAGCACTGGTGTGTCAAAAAGGGCAGCAATGGGAATTTGACAGTATACTTCCCTATTCTATTTTCAGCTATAGTGACCTTGATCTTAGGAAATATCTACATAACTATAACATTTGTTATCATGTAAAATTTCAGAAATGTTTTGACTTTTGGATTCTCTGATTTCTGATAAATGGCTCTGAAAATCTTGTTTTATGCTTTTCAGAAAAACAAGCTATGTACACACAAAACCAATATCCAGAACAAGCTCTTATATACAAAGCTTTGAGCAAAAAATACAAGCACTACTTGAGGATATACATCAAAACAGGCACTACGAGAGAAAGGAAGAGATCTGTGTAGTAAAGCACTCAAAGAAAAATGGAAATGAGTTTTCTTTAAATACAAATCATATTAACAGCAACATATATATGTGATCTTTTAACATGAAATGATTTGAACTAAAATTAAGTGGAAGCAAATTAAAACCTATACTAATATCTGACACCAGTGTTTATCCTTCATAAAGCTGACGATTGTATTACTTGTTTTACTCTGAGCTAATACCTGCAGCTTCTTGATTCTACATGAATCTGATAAGAACCATTATTTCTCTTGATTCTACGTGAATCTGATAAGAACCATTATTTCTATTTTGAAAGTAATTGCATCTTAATGTTTACAGCAAGTTTCAGGTATACTGATTACATAAATATGTACGGGTTAAGTATGAAGATAGGTTTACCATTTATTTATTTACAAAAAAAATATTCTACAAACATAAAAGGCAGATACATGTGTAGTAAATGGTAAAGAATCAGTGAAGTAGCATACATAGATATCATATAAGGAATCAGCGAAGTAGCATGTTCAGATATCATATAAGGAATCAGCGAAGTAGCATGTTCAGATGTCATATAAGGAATCAGCGAAGTAGCATATATAGAAGATGTCTGATCAAGTAAGCAAGTGGCAGATTCAGGAGTAATTGATTAATACTGAATATGACCCACATATTGAAGAAGTCACCACAATTTTGTAATCACAAGGTAACTCCTCCCCACTTTTGTAATCACAAGGTAACTCCTCCCCAATTTTGTAATCAAAAGGTAACTCCTCCCCAATTTTGTAATCACAAGATCATCCCTCCCCACTTTTGTAATTACAAGGTAACTCCTCCTCACTTTTGTAGTTACAAGGTTACTCCTCTCCACTTTCGTAATCACAAGTTCATCCCTCCCCAATTTTGTAATCACAATATTTTTTTCCACAGTTTTTTCTGAATATGCCACCACACCAAAGAGAATTTTCACACATACTTTTTAAAGAAAACACAATTGAGTGGAACATCGTTCTAATCATACCTTATTGGGCTAGAACAAAAACAAAATTGTTTTGTGAAGCATACAACACAGTTTACATACTCATGCAAGTAGGTGGAAGGTGGAGATAACTCTAGCCATTGCCAGGAATCGTTTGGGTGTTTAGCTACTTAGGTTTACAGTATGTTTATCACAAGCTTTTACACAACACTATTCACTAATATTCGACCTAATGAAAGGCAACAAAAAGGGATTTTATGTTCTAGTACATACTTCTTAAATCATGGACTAGTGAATGTATTTTTAATATCCTTAGACACAAAAAACTATTGTATAGCACTTCAATTATATTGGTTTATCTTCTGCGAACTTTTTCCAGAAAAAGAATTCACATTACATTGTATTTAAATTTTACATAATATCTTTAATAACCAAAGTTTAAACTTACTTTCTATGAGAAGTAACATACACATGATACTCTTTATCAGGCAACGAAATGGCAGGTTTCTATTTTAATTATGTTTTAAATGTTGAGAAAATGAACAAAAAGAAAAACAAATATGACACAATACACAGCTATTCACATGCCACTTTAAACAGTGATTTATTCTGCTGAACATATAAAGCTTTAAGCACCAACATAATCTCCTACATATCAAAATCTTCTGAAGCATTCATTTCATTTTGATATATATTTAAAAAACTATTCTGATCTGAGTAATGGCAACAGTGCAGTACAGTGCAGTGCATATAAATAAAAGTTCCAGGAAGAAGTGCTCACCTTATAACCCTCGAGGAAGTCTTCTCGTGCTCTAGTGCTCGTGTCCTCGGACGTAGTAGAATCCACAGAAACATTGGCACGCACAGATTCAGATTCCTTTGGAGGTGGTCCATGGCCATCACGGAATAGAAATGTAGGTCCAGAACCACGTACATCAAAAAAGTCATCCTCATCAGGTTTCCTCAGAGGCGATAAAGGCCGGACTTTTGGGGTGCGGTCCGTTGACTGCTCACTAGAGCTGTCAGATGTGTAACTACTTTCGGAGTCTGACCCTCGCTCAAAATCTTTTTTACGGTACTTAATGTCCTTGCCTCCTCGTACTCGCACAGAGCCATTGGAGGATTTAGAGTCGTGACGCCGCCCATCTCGAGGTGTACTCAATTCTGTTTCAGATTCAGACATTGATCCTGCGGTACTTTTATCATCATCACCATGTAATGCTGAAAGAGTTAATCAGGTTTTAGCTAACATTAATTTTCACTACTAGATGTTTCAGTAAGTTTTAATCGTTACATCTAGTAATCACAGATGTTGTACGTTTTGCTCATATTAAAGATTTGATCTAGTTGTTGTTTATACATGTCACTATGCTTTTCAATTTCTTCAAGTGGTAGTTACAGAATACTTTTGTATGAACATTCCAATAGATCAGTGAATCACTATGCTAAAACAGTGTAAACATGGGCATCATCAATTATAATGGCGATCCTGTATAACTAACACGATCCTGTATAACTAACACGATCCTGTATAAATAATACGATCCTGTAAAACTAACATGATCTTGTATAACTAACACGATCCTGTATAACTTACACCATCCTGTATAATCCTAACACCATCCTGTATAACTAACACGATCCTGTATAATCCTAACACGATCCTGTATAACTTACACGATCCTGTATAACTAATACGATCCTGTAAAACTGACATGATCTTGTATAACTAACACGATCCTGTATAACTAACACGATCCTGTATAACTAACACAATCCTGAATAACTAACATGATCCTGTATAACTAACACAATCCTTTATAATCCTAACACGATCCTGTATACAAAACACGATCCTGTATAACTAATACGATCCTGCAAAACTGACATGATCTTGTATAACTAACCCGATCCTGTATAACTTACACCGTCCTGTATAATCCTAACACCATCCTGTATAAATAACACGATCCTGTATAACCCAAACACGATCCTGTATAACTTACACTATCCTGTATAACTAATACGATCCTGCAAAACTGACATGATCTTGTATTACTAACACGATCCTGTATAGCTAACACGATCCTGTATAACTAACACGATCCTGTATAACTTACACGATCCTGTATAACTAACACAATCCTGTATAACTAACATGATCCTGTATAACTAACACGATCCTGTATAACTAACACAATCCTGTATAATCCTAACACGATCCTGTATAATCCTAACACGATCCTGTATAACTAACACGATCCTGTATAACTAACACGATAAAGCAGTTCAGTGATAGAGTGTTACCTTCTATAAAGGCCCGGTCCCTGTCCATCTCTAGTACACGGTACGTCTTACGATCTCCGTCGTGGGCAGAAAGCCAGCGCTCTAAATTAAACTCATAGATCCTCTTGTCGTGCATGTCATACACTGTGACACCCTCCAAGTACCAGGCGTCCCCTACAGCAGATATCTTCTATTATAGTTCTATATAAGACTCGACTGTTCAGTAAGAAACTCTTACCTTCAGGTATTGATAAAAATATTTTTCAAATCATGAAGGATGCTTTTTCTATTTTATAAAATAACATTAACCATATTCATTCTGAAAACTGTGTATTAGAAACAGTTTGGTTGAGGTATAGTTAGAATAAAACATCTAAAATAATTAAGCAATTATCACAAACATAGGTTAATTGATACATTGCTAGAGTAAGCTGGATGTTTTAAATGAATCATTGTTTTATTAGGTAAAAAGACCCTATTGTGTGCTGCCCTGAACAACACACATGATCAACAACACTAGCAGTACTCAGACACAATGATAATGTGTAGGCCGAATGTGGTTTTACAACTGACTTATTTCTAGCAGGAGCTAGATACATGCTAGTATAGATGTAAGATACATACGCAATGAAGTCCTGTCATGGCCTATTTTGATCTGGCGTAGTTTTCCAACATGATGACATGCTAACACAAACAGATCCTCCTACAATGAACAAACACAGGAATTTAGTGACAACAAATACATACAAAATTTAATGACAACAAACACATACAGAATTTAATTACCATATATACAAACAGAATTTAATTACCATATATACAAACAGAATTTAATTACCATAAATACAAACAGAGTTTAACTACCATAAATACAAACAGGAATTTAGTGACAATAAATATATACAGGAATTTATCGACCACAAATACATACCGGAATTTAGTGAACAAAAATACAATACAGACACATGGTGATTGAAAATTTTCACAATAATCAAAGAAATCTCAGACCTGAGAATATATATATATATATACATGTATTTTGTTTAATTGACCTGCATAGCTTTATACACATACAAATGTAGAGATACATGAATCAATATGTTCTACATACCTTGTCCCCCTAGGTTCAGTCAGAGTCTAGCAGTATGAACCACGTCTGTACATACCTTGTCCCCCTAGGTTCAGCCAGAGTCTAGCAGTATGAACCACGTCTGTACATACCTTCTCCCCCTAGATTCAGTCAGTGTCTAGCAGTATGAACCACGTCTGTACATACCTTGTCCCCCTAGGTTGAGTCAGTGTCTAGCCGTATGAACCACGTCTGTACATACCTTGTCCCCCAGGTTCAGTCAGTGTCTAGCAGTATGAACCACGACTGTAGATACCTTGTCCCCCTAGGTTCAGTCAGTGTGTAGCAGTATGAACCACGTCTGTCCATACCTTGTCCCCCTAGGTTGAGTCAGTGTCTAGCCGTATGAACCACGTCTGTACATACCTTGTCCCCCAGGTTCAGTCAGTGTCTAGCAGTATGAACCACGACTGTACATACCTTGTCCCCCTAGGTTCAGTCAGTGTCTAGCAGTATGAACCACGTCTGTAGATACCTTGTCCCCCTAGGTTCAGTCAGTGTGTAGCAGTATGAACCACGTCTGTACATACCTTGTCCCCCTAGGTTGAGTCAGTGTCTAGCAGTATGAACCACGTCTGTACATACCTTGCCCCTCTGGAACATGACCAGGTGTCGTTTGGAGTCCTGGAGGACTAGTTCCTTTGATCGGCCCTTATCCCCATACATAGTGAGCTTCACCTCAATGTTGGCGCTGGCACTGGCTCCGGTCCTGTTCCCAGTTCTAACATAGATCTGGTACTCAGCCCAGTCACCTTGTTTTATCTCATCATCCAGCTGTTAAACAAAACAGCTTATTGACATGTATTTCTTATGTTACAATAAAACACGTAATGGAAGGCAACACAATTAATCAGAAGTTTTCTGAAGATTTAAACATATTAGGTGGAGATTTTAATATACTTGGTCCCTGCAGGGGATATAGTGGAATGTAGAACTATAGGAAAATATATGGTTAGTTAACATTTATAATACTTCATAATTAATTAGAAATGTGTGTAAAAATGACAACATACAGGGTTGTACTTCTCTATCATGTGGGTCTCCGTCTGTATGCTGACACTGTCTCCAGCTTGTGTAGAATGGCTGACCTTGACCTCCTCACAAATGTCTGTGTCACGTACATGTATCACCGTAGACTTGTGAGTGCCAGGTTTTGTCTGTACCTTTGAACTATTACTACTTGTCGTCGTTTTTGTCCCTACGTCACTTGAGCTCCTGTCAGTGGTGGATGCTGTTTCGCTGTCCAGTGACCCTGACCTTGCTGACCTCCCCGCTGTCCCAGATCTATCTGATTTACGTGATCGGTCAGACTTTCGTGACCTGTCTGATTTCTGTGACCTTGAGGATCTATCTGATCTTGCCGACCTTTCAGATTTGTTGTGTTGGTCTGTTGTTGTAGTTGTTGTTGTAGATTCAGGTTTTGACCTTACAACTTTTTTTATGATGACACGTCTTTGTTCTCTACAAAAAAAAAGGTCCTTTTAATACCACTGTTAATACAAATAAATGTCACTTGTAATACAAAACAGTTGCAACCATCAAGCCTGACTAACTCTGAAGGTACAATCGTGAAGGTACAATCGTGAAGGTACAGTCGTGAAGGTACAGTCGTGAAGGTAAAATCGTGAAATATGAACATGAAGACATCTGCTGTCTTTACATTTTTCACTCATTATTTGACACCATTCATCTTGGGTGATAATTTTGTAAGGAGAAGAAATGACACCTACATGGACATGACTTACGGTTTGTGATCTTTTGAGGCGTTGTGTGCTGAATGTTTAGGTAAGTAGCTATCATCATAGGCCTACAGAGGAGAATAAAAACAGCCATTGTTTGTTCGGCATATAAAACAGTTTCAATAACAACAATCTACTAAAATCTTTACCATGAAAATAGCAAGTAAGTGTAAAAAATATCAATAAGGTCAATTTGTCATTCATACTAGATATTTATATCAAGTTATATTTGCACAATAAAGCGTAAAAAAATTATCTTCAAAAGTATTGAATGTTGAAAGTGTGAATATTAGATTATCGACGAAACAGGAATATTTCAGTTTGTGGAGAACACAATTACCCTCTGCTTTTCCTTCTCGTTTGCATGTCGTCTGCCATGGATATCCCATGTGAATTTTGCTGTTGCTGGTCTTTTCTTATCTTTGTTCTGGAAAAAACAATCCAATGAAATAAAAACACTTTCTTCTTCAGCTTCCTTCAGGGCGGGCTTTACTCCTTGTTTTATGTAAACATGGGATTATTACTGGGGCCCTGACAAGTGGACGTAAAGACACAGTGAGTATCATAAGGCGGGCACCTCCAATGTGGGGCCCTGACATGTGGACATAAAGACACAGTGAATATCATAGGGCGGGCATTTCCAATGTGGGGCCCTGACATGTGGATGTAAAGACACAGTGAGTATCATAGGGCGGACACCTCCAAAGTGGGGCCCTGACAAGTGGACATAAAGACACAGTGAGTATCATAGGGTGGGCTCCTGCAATGTGGGGCCCTGACAAGTGGACATAAAGACACAGTGAGTATCATAGGGCGGGCTCCTCCAATGTGGGGCCCTGACATGTGGACGTAAAGACACAGTGAGTATCATAGGGCGGGCACCTCCAATGTGGGGCCCTGACATGTGGACGTAAAGACACAGTGAGTATCATAGGGCGGGCATCTCCAATGTGGGGCCCTGACATGTGGACGTAAAGACACAGTGAGTATCATAGGGCGGGCATCTCCAATGTGGGGCCCTGACATGTGGACGTAAAGACACAGTGAGTATCATAGGGCGGGCATCTCCAATGTGGGGCCCTGACATGTGGACGTAAAGACACAGTGAGTATCATAGGGCGGGCATCTCCAATGTGGGGCCCTGACATGTGGACGTAAAGACACAGTGAGTATCATAGGGCGGGCATCTCCAATGTGGGGCCCTGACATGTGGACGTAAAGACACAGTGAGTATCATAGGGCGGGCATCTCCAATGTGGGGCCCTGACAAGTGGACGTAAAGACACAGTGAGTATCATAGGGCGGGCATCTCCAATGTGGGGCCCTGACAAGTGGACGTAAAGACACAGTGAGTATCATAGGGCGGGCATCTCCAATGTGGGGCCCTGACAAGTGGACGTAAAGACACAGTGAGTATCATAGGGCGGGCATCTCCAATGTGGGGCCCTGACAAGTGGACGTAAAGACACAGTGAGTATCATAGGGCGGGCATCTCCAATGTGGGGCCCTGACAAGTGGACGTAAAGACACAGTGAATATCATAGGGCGGGCATCTCCAATGTGGGGCCCTGACAAGTGGACGTAAAGACACAGTGAGTATCATAGGGCGGGCATCTCCAATGTGGGGCCCTGACAAGTGGATGTAAAGACACAGTGAATATCATAGGGCGGGCATCTCCAATGTGGGGCCCTGACATGCTCAAGGAAAGGGGAAATGTGTTAGGTAAATCACACTATGAAACTTAACTATAAAAACAATTAAAATTAAATGGAATTCCTTACACATGTCAAGAAAAATAAACTTGCCTGATGATTTAGTCACATTTCCGGTTCTGCAGCACATTATCTAAGTTGAAACTTAGGTGTCTACCAAATATGATAGAGACCAGATAATTAGATAATGTTCTGATGTTTTATATTTCTGACATTATAATGTTAACCTAACTATTGTGACATATTACCAAGTAACATAGGCAGTGTAAGTATGTCTGTCAAAAGTCCAACACAAGTCACTGTGACCTACTTACCTGTCCCTTAGGGGTATCTACTGGGATATACACAAGCTGGTCATCTAGCCCGGGCAGCGACCTCTCAGTCTATGTAGGTGTGGCAAAGGGTGAAGGGTGGAGCACATGCAACCACGACAGGAATGTGAAGCAGAGAGTGGATAGCCATATAAGGACATGCACATGACAAGCAAACATTCTACAACTAGCTATATAATTCACTAAAAGGTGTACATCTAAATAATAAGGAAGGTGAAGCAGGGGGATCCTATATTAGAGCTCACACTACACACATAGTATGTATGGACCAGTCCTAAACCACAACTGTATAGTATGACTGGGTCCATCATGGTGTGTGTATGGGTGTGAGCTCTAATGTCACTATTATAGAACCAGTCCTCAACCACAAGTGTATAGCATTACTGGGTCCATCATGGTGTGTGTATGGGTGTGAGCTCTAATGTCACTATTATAGGCCGGGGCTCTATAAGTTATATAAGATATAGGATATTACATAGCACTGAAAGCCATATTTATAATTTATTTAAACTTGTTTAGACCAATATTTTGTTATATGAATCTCAAAACTAAAGACGTAAATCAACCTATCATATTCAGATCTATATAACCTGATAGTCCCTGAAACAAAATCCTTTCTGTTTTGCTAGTTATAAAAGTGTGCTGGTTATAACTAACAAGATGGAACACAAGCAAATCTTCAAAAGAAAAGTGTTGTGTTTGGCAAAAACATTGTGACATTGAAGTGATCTGATAAAAAGAATCCTAACCTGCTGTTTCTAACAAGAGGCCCAGAGGACCTGTATTGCTCACCTGGATATTAAGCAATCATGCTGAAATGTTCTCATTAAAGGTAGTAACTCAAATACTCCTCACCTTTGTTTGTACAACATTGAGTTCCCTTGGGCTAACAATGCTCCAAACCAAATTCAGTCAAAATTCCTTTGGCTATTGTGGATGAGTAGCCAATCAAACAAAAATTTGATGCTGGACGCTAGACATATACCATACCACTATATAAGCTTACTGGGCTCTTTAGACCAGATGAGCTCAAATCTGCCACTGACATGCTATAGCTAACAGATCTGTGACTTGGAGAAGAAATATATAAACAAAAATATATACATGCTGTGATACTAAAATAAGAAAGGATTCTACGTACCTCAAAAGGTTTGGGGGCAGACTGTCCCCTCTTTGGACTTGGAGGGCGAGGCTGTATGATATCCACAGTTTCCTGAAACAAGGGTATCAGGCATAATACAGTCTGTCTGGATAGTTGTTAAATGTGACTGTTACTTAGGCAGTTCAATGTGACCTAGGATACCAAATGTGACATTAACTTTGACCATTAAAACCTGATCTTAGTCACTGAAAACCATATGTAATATTGACTTTAACAAGTGAAATCAATCATTGTGAAGTCTCACTGAGAGAATCCAGAACAACTATATTTTTGGTTTCATAAAGTTGTTTCCAAAACATTGTTGACATATTATGTAGGTTTCATGTAAATTGTATTCTAGTTATGATTAGCAGACTTTAAATGTATTGTGGTTAAAAAGGACTCTGACAAAGTACTATAGGTAGCTCTGGTGTTATCAGTTTACCTGTGAAAGAATTTTGAAATCGGCAGTATTTTTACTAAAATGTGAACAGATCTCCATTGCGACTGAATACATTTGGCACTTCACTATATTGAAATTGAATAAAAAGACATTTTTTAACTCAAAATTAAATTTAATCATCATGTCAGGAAATATTAATCTAAATGAAATGTTTGATTCAAAACATTAAGGGTATGTTGAGTTGGAAGCAATTTCAAAGTAGCCCTAAAAAGTTCAGTCAGTTTCGATGCAAATGTCAGTCCAAAACAAGGTAAAATTAGGCAAAATAACAAATATATTGTACTTTCAATATTTAATTGTCATAAGATCTCACCTAGACCTCAAGTTAATGCATATCCCAAACAGGAAGGATGAAGGACACATACCTATTAAGTTAGAAGTAACACATACCTATTAAGTTAGAAGTAACACATACCTATTAAGTTAGAAGTAACACATACCTATTAAGTTAGAAGTAACACATACCTATTAAGTTAGAAGTAACACATACCTATTAAGTTAGAAGTAACACATACCTATTAAGTTAGAAGTAACACATACCTATTAAGTTAGAAGTAACACATACCTATTAAGTTAGAAGTAACACATACCTATTAAGTTAGAAGTAACACATACCTATTAAGTTAGAAGTAACACATACCTATTAAGTTAGAAGTAACACATACCTATTAAGTTAGAAGTAACACATACCTATTAAGTTAGAAGTAACACATACCTATTAAGTTAGAAGTAACACATACCTATTAAGTTAGAAGTAACACATACCTATTAAGTTAGAAGTAACACATACCTATTAAGTTAGAAGTAACACATACCTATGAAGTTAGAAGTAACACATACCTATGAAGTTAGAAGTGACACATACCTATTAAGTTAGAAGTAACACATACCCATGAAGTTAGAAGTAACACATACCTATTAAGTTAGAAGTGACACATACCCATGAAGTTAGAAGTAACACATACCTATGAAGTTAGAAGTGACACATACCTATTAATATAAACTTTATTTCATTCCAAATTAAGTTGCATTACATCACATAACATACAAAGTACAGAGGAATGGGATCCGGAAACAAGTTGAAATAACTTATATAAAGCCGTTTCCGAGAATGTATCTCATTAATTTAGGGCATGATGGTATAGTTACTGAATTCTAAGTTAGAAGTAACACATACCTATTAAGTTAGAAGTAACACATACCTATTAAGTTAGAAGTAACACATACCTATTAAGTTAGAAGTGACACATACCTATTAAGTTAGAAGTAACACATACCTATTAAGTTGGAAGTATTTCAAAAACTTTCCCTCAAATCACTTACCATTAAGGTTTTAGGTGAGACATAGACACTGGGGGTACAGAATTAGCTTAAATTACCCGTAACTGGTGAGCTAAATTTGTTAGTAAACAGTACATTGCTGACGATGTATTGGCTATGATTATAAACAGTTAGTACTTACCGTGGCTACCAGAAGTTTGTTAGTAAACAGTACATTGCTGACAATGTATTGGCTATGATTATAAACAGTTAGTACTTACCGTGGCTACCAGAAGTTTGTTAGTAAACAGTACATTGCTGACGATGTATTGGCTATGATTATAAACAGTTAGTACTTACCGTGGCTACCAGAAGTTTGTTAGTAAACAGTACATTGCTGACAATGTATTGGCTATGATTATAAACAGTTAGTACTTACCGTGGCTACCAGAAGTTTGTTAGTAAACAGTACATTGCTGACGATGTATTGGCTATGATTATAAACAGTTAGTACTTACCGTGGCTACCAGAAGTTTGTTAGTAAACAGTACATTGCTGACAATGTATTGGCTATGATTATAAACAGTTAGTACTTACCGTGGCTACCAGAAGTTTGTTAGTAAACAGTACATTGCTGACGATGTATTGGCTATGATTATAAACAGTTAGTACTTACCGTGGCTACCAGAAGTTTGTTAGTAAACAGTACATTGCTGACAATGTATTGGCTATGATTATAAACAGTTAGTACTTACCGTGGCTACCAGAAGTTTGTTAGTAAACAGTACATTGCTGACGATGTATTGGCTATGATTATAAACAGTTAGTACTTACCGTGGCTACCAGAAGTTTGTTAGTAAACAGTACATTGCTGACAATGTATTGGCTATGATTATAAACAGTTAGTACTTACCGTGGCTACCAGAAGTTTGTTAGTAAACAGTACATTGCTGACGATGTATTGGCTATGATTATAAACAGTTAGTACTTACCGTGGCTACCAGAAGTTTGTTAGTAAACAGTACATTGCTGACAATGTATTGGCTATGATTATAAACAGTTAGTACTTACCGTGGCTACCAGAAGTTTGTTAGTAAACAGTACATTGCTGACGATGTATTGGCTATGATTATAAACAGTTAGTACTTACCGTGGCTACCAGAAGTTTGTTAGTAAACAGTACATTGCTGACAATGTATTGGCTATGATTATAAACAGTTAGTACTTACCGTGGCTACCAGAAGTTTGTTAGTAAACAGTACATTGCTGACGATGTATTGGCTATGATTATAAACAGTTAGTACTTACCGTGGCTACCAGAAGTTTGTTAGTAAACAGTACATTGCTGACAATGTATTGGCTATGATTATAAACAGTTAGTACTTACCGTGGCTACCAGAAGTTTGTTAGTAAACAGTACATTGCTGACGATGTATTGGCTATGATTATAAACAGTTAGTACTTACCGTGGCTACCAGAAGTTTGTTAGTAAACAGTACATTGCTGACAATGTATTGGCTATGATTATAAACAGTTAGTACTTACCGTGGCTACCAGAAGTTTGTTAGTAAACAGTACATTGCTGACGATGTATTGGCTATGATTATAAACAGTTAGTACTTACCGTGGCTACCAGAAGTTTGTTAGTAAACAGTACATTGCTGACAATGTATTGGCTATGATTATAAACAGTTAGTACTTACCGTGGCTACCAGAAGTTTGTTAGTAAACAGTACATTGCTGACGATGTATTGGCTATGATTATAAACAGTTAGTACTTACCGTGGCTACCAGAAGTTTGTTAGTAAACAGTACATTGCTGACAATGTATTGGCTATGATTATAAACAGTTAGTACTTACCGTGGCTACCAGAAGTTTGTTAGTAAACAGTACATTGCTGACGATGTATTGGCTATGATTATAAACAGTTAGTACTTACCGTGGCTACCAGAAGTTTGTTAGTAAACAGTACATTGCTGACGATGTATTGGCTATGATTATAAACAGTTAGTACTTACCGTGGCTACCAGAAGTTTGGTGGCAATGTTGACCAGACGCTGAGCCTCGCCCCGGGTGATGTTTTGTGAGGGAACACTCCTGAGCTGAGGCCAGCCTCCCTTCAATGATCTGGAACAAAGACCATTGTAGGATCATAAGTGTTGTAACATTGCAATTTAATTGTCATTAAGTTTTAGACAGTATTCTTAAGTCATTTCAGAATCTTCTCATTTTATCAAGTCCAAAAAAGTAAATGTCAATAGGCAAATTTAAGAACTTTCAGATTCAATTTGAGCACACTGTAACTCTTTTTTAGAGTTATGTCTGGAATGTAGTAAATATACATCCTTATCTGTTGGTTCTCTTGGTGATTATGCTGGGTTTTGTGAACATACAATAATTTAGAGCTTTTTTATCAGTTTTGTGTAAAGATACCAAATCATTTTTATCAGTTTAATACAGGAATACACCAACTCTTCAAGTAAAGAATGAACAAGGCCATAGGTTCCTTTACTATGATATACGGTTCATACTTTCTATTTCCTTTCAAAGGAAAGATGACATCTGATGTATCCCGACCAGTCTGGGCAAACAGAAATGCTGGGTGAGTTTTCGGCTACAACACAAAAATATACAGCTCTTAAATACCTCTCCAACAACACAAAATATGTTAATCCATGATTAAATATAACATACAAATGACTCAACCTCAATTATGTAATGACTGAATGCTTCATGCTGATGAATTATACAGGCTGCATGGGCCTCTTGCTAGTGAATGGTACAGGCTGCCTGGGCCTCTTGTTACATAGAGGTTGGGTCTCTTACTACCGGTAAATGATTTAATTACATGTACTGGGAAATGTTGCCTAAAATATTCTCAAAGTATTGTTTCCTTATATTTGAGATAAAGTGCATATATATGTTGTGTTCCCCTTTAACATTATTGATAAAAATGTCCATCACTATAAACATTCCTCTAGAATGTAGTTAAACAGTTCAACACCATGAATGTGTAATAAAGTAATCAAATCCATACAAGACTGAGCTGCCTGGAAACAGAAATCAATACACAATCTACACCTAGAGTCACATTACATACACGTGCATCATCATGTAATCGCATGAAACATAGTAGTGATAAACATAGTACATAGTGCATGGACAGTAAGTGATAAACATAGTACATATTGCATGGACAGTAAGTGATAAACAGTGCAATAATGTAATCAACTTGATGTATTCAGGATTATAACCGAATTCATCTCCCTCAGGGCCCTCAAAATGTAAACTTGTAAACTTGACACATGACCTTATTCTGTTTTACTATTTATTTTTATGCATTGATTGCGATAACAAAGTGAGAAATGCAATTCATTCTAAGGTGTTGTATTAAGATTAGCCCTGTTTAGCAATTCAATATTGGATCTAAATTACTACAGAAATACTGATAATAAATCTGTGTTATAAATAGCCTACAAACTTTGGGACATTTACTATGCAAGTTCTGATACTGATAATAAATCTGTGTTATAAATAGCCTGCAAACTTTGGGACATTTACTGTACAAGTTCTGATACTGATAATAAATCTGTGTTATAAATAGCCTACAAACTTTGGGACATTTACCATACAAGTTCTAATACTGATAATAAATCTGTGTTATAAATAGCCTGCAAACTTTGGGACATTTACCGTACAAGTTCTGATAATGATAATAAATATGTGTGATAAATAGCCTACAAACTTTTCGACATTTACCGTACAAGTTCTGATATTGATAATAAATCTTTGTTATAAATAGCCTACAAACTTTTTCGACATTTACCATACACGTTCTGACAAGCGTGTGATTAAATGATGTGATGCTGTGTGTCACACAATCTTAATAAGATGGCTGGCACTCAGCTTCACACCTCTAGTATCAGACAATCGATAAAGTTTCCTATTACGCCTGGTAATTAGTAATACCTGTCCTATCATGCAATCAATCAAGTTTCCTTTTACACCTGGTAATCAGTAATACCTGTCCTATCAGACAATCAATCAAGTTTCCTTTTACACCTGGTAATCAGCAATACCTGTCCTATCAGACAATCAATCAAGTTTCCTATTACGCCTGGTAATCAGTAATACCTGTCCTATCAGACAATCAATCAAGTTTCCTATTACGCCTGGTAATCAGCAATACCTGTCCTATCA